TGAAAGAGAAAACATACACACAAGCCTTGATTCTGCCTTTGTGTGTAGTACCTTAAAATGCTTGTGGCCTGGTAGCTTTGACTGCAGGGTCAGCTTTAGGCTTAAACTCTAGCATAGCTATGATTTAATTTTGTAGTACAGGTATATCAGGCACTCACTGCTATAAGAAAGTTTCTACATAGAGGCAGGTGGTTGTTTTGGCTTTGTTCTTTTAGAGAGAAATATGAGTGTATGACAGTTTGTAATCTCATCAGTATTCCTTGTGCATTTCATAATCTTTCTTGTATCTTCGTAGTATATATATAGAAATATAAATATAAAATACAAATATAAAAATATAAAATATAAATATATAGAAGACATATGTACCTCTAATGAATTTACTTAGCCTTCTGAGTTTTAAAATTTTTAGATAAACTACCCCGTGAATTTCATGTTTTGTTTTTTGAGCTAGATAAATTCAAAATTTGTCACCTCAGAAGTTCCCAGAAAAATATTTGAGGGCTCTCAAGTGGATTTAATGCCCAGATAAAATTGCTGATGCACAGTATGACAAGGAGGCTTTTTTTTGTGAAACTAGTTGTTCTCCAATATTTGGTGCTTGCAAATGACAGAAGTTGAAGCAACTCAATCAAATAAAAGCTTTCCTTTAACCATAAATAATACACATGGAATGTGATATGCTCAAAATTATTTATAAAGACATTAAAAGGAGAGTTTGTGTAATATATTCCCTCTATGAACTGAACTGTTGAGACAGCCAACTCTGCAAACTGTGATTTTCCTAGTAAGTCAGAACTCACTACTGTGACCTCTGAAACCAATCTAGCTGGCCAGGGGCTCTGAACAGTGTTTATCACACTGAACAAATAGATTTGGGGACTACCACTCAAATATTTGTGTTAACTTTTAACTGACATAGGCAATGAATAAACTCTTTCCTTGGACCTCCGTAAAATTCAAAGATAATGAGGACCAAATGTGAGAGAGAGGCTGTGTTATACCAAACATGTGGTATAAACTGCCAGTGTAATTCATTGGGTCATAACTTGTGTGGTGCCCAGGGAACTTTGAACCCCCACGAAGACTTTGCATCAAGTGAAGTTGGCGAAAATTGCAACTATTTTGTTTGTTTTCTTCTATTTTAGACTGAAAACGCAGTGTAATTTAATTCCAAAGCCGTTCCACTGACCTCAGGGCTGAGGTGTGGAGAGGTCAAACGACTTCCCCTGGTCAAACAGGGTGCATGTGGCCTAGCCATGAATAGATTCCAAAGTACCAGTCCCATGTCCTAACAGCCGTTCTTAGTGTGACAAAAGCTATTCTATTTTAGGCAGATCCAACAATTTGTCCAAGTTGTCATTATGGCTTAACTACATGGGGGCAGAGAAAACAAACTCTAGGTACTTTAAGTAAAAAACTATGAATATGTCAACTGAGATCCAAGTTTGTAATTCCCTGCTGAAATTCAGAGAAAGACATTTTGTGCAACACATAGTGAAGTCTGTTTTCAGCAGTTCTGTGGCTTTGTATTTTAGAAATTTGTCCTAATGATTTGTATTTGATTTGTATTTCCTGCTAATTCTGCTTTCTGCCCCAGGATCTAGAAGCACCAAGTTATAGCCTGTGATATTCCTATGAAGTCGTCTAGTAATTAACTTCTGTTTTACAGAAGGGGACAGGAAATGAAGCCTCCTGGTCAACTATTTTCATAATTAAGCAACTGAATCAAGGAGGCTCAGTTTTCAAAGCAGCTTATGACCTCAGCAAACAGGAACAGACTCGTCAAGCCACTGCTGAGCATACACGTTACACAGGGTGTTTAGTATTTAAAATAAAATTTAAAAAAAGGACAGGATGAAGTCTAAACTTGGTTATATTAATCCATAGGCAATAGAACACTGTTCTGTAACCTGTGGCTGCTCCCAAGTCTTATTGGAAGACCTCTAACCACACTTTCCTGTTTATTGAAAAATATTTTCCATGCACTGGCTCCCCAGACCAGCAGGGACTGAGCCAGTGAACCGCATCAAACCTCCCTTACCCTTTCTAACAGTTGTCTGAAAGCTAAGAAGAAACTGCTGTCTAAAAGTATTGTTTTCTCTACTGAGCCTCAGTTTGCAGACAGGTTCATGAGAATTTTTTCCAGCTTGGAAATTAGGCCATTTATCAAAGACCATACAGGAAATCAGTGTCAGAATGAGGAATGCAATTAGATTTCTTCACTTTCAAGACCTAGATTTGAACTGCAAGACAGCTCTGACTCTGAAAATTTATTAATTTCAGAGTCATGTATTTGAGATAGTGTGTTTTAAGATCACAAAGAAACATCTCTGATGAATGATGGTTAATAGAAAAAAATCTGGGTCTTTATTGGTAAACCAGAATAACTCCCTGACAATCACCTACTGCTTATCTTTTTCAGAACAGGGCTTAACACTCTGAGTCCTGTTATAGAAGTACTTCATACATGTCAGTGCCAGAGGTAAAAGTTCCTGGACTTCGCAAATGTAATTGGCAGTCTTTGCTGAACCCCAGACACAGAGTTTAGTTTCAGCATCTGTGCACTGGGAGCAGTGGTAAACAATGTTCCTCCTGCTTTCTTACTCCCACTGCAAAAGAGTCATTGCATTGGAAGACTAGAGATAAGGAAACATATAAGCTTGGAAAAATAATTGCATCCTGAAGGTGTGCTCTTTCAATGGAGTTTTAAACTACTGGAGGCTTGGTAAATATTTGGCATTTATTTACATGTGTTTTCTTTCTCCTGCTATACATCATCTTTGGAATACTAAACATAAAATTAACATTGTTGGGCGATAGGCAAATGTTTGTCATTATGGTTTTTTTAGCAACATTACGGAAAAAAAAGTCTGTGAGGAAATGTTTGAATTCAAGTATTATTATGTTGTGCTAACTCTTAAAAGCAAAATTTATTAGTGTCTGAAATAGAGAATGTTATTCAGCAAGAGTTTAAAGAGTTGGAATTTTTTTTATCGTTTAATTGCAAATGCAATCTGCAGATTTTGCAGACTTGAAGGTATAGTTCTTTATATAGGCAAAACCAATTAAAAATCCAATTATTAACCTGGCTGTCCTCTGAAACTGTCCAAATATAACGTTGTTCCAGATGTTCGTGGTACTGTTCCATGTTTATACTATTCTCTCAGCAGCTGTTAGGCTGTTTGAAAAAATTACTCAGATGGGTGGTAGTGGTATTTAATGCAGAATCCACCCTCAAAAGGGTGGATTACATAATGTAGGGGTAATTACATAAATGTAGCCCAATAAGTATCATTTTATCAGGACAGCAAACCAACTAACATTCCTTCAGCCTGATGTAAATTAAAAAGGGCAAATACTATCATAGCCTCTTGACAGAACAGGCTGTATTGACTCTTACTTACTACATCTTTTTTTAATCAAGAGATATAAAATTACACAACCTTTTTTTTTTTCTTCCTTGTCCATCCATCTACAAATGAGAAATCTAATCCTGCTAATGCGTGTGCACATGCGTAGCTTCACTTGTGTGAGTAATCCTTTCAAACTGGGAGAACTACTTTTTTGGAGGAAAGGTATGTACGTGAATGCACGCTTGCAGATGTTGTTCTGCAGGCAGTGTGCTCAGGAGACCCCTCTCCTGTTGTCCTTAGCATGCTGTAATGAATGGAATTACAGGAATGCAGGGCTGAGTTCCAAAAGCTCGGGCTGAATTTCGGTTTCGGAATGGAGATAGCGCTCAGAAGTGTAGCGGTAAGAGCATTCATAGTACAGCTAATGGACTGGTTGCATCCTGCTCTCAGGGACAGGTTCTCAGTGCAACTGAGTCCAACCAGACAATATAGCTTTAAATGATAACAGAACTTGGCAGAATAATTGTTTTGACCATTGCAGCTACTTTTGTCAGACTGTGGCCACCTGTAGTGTGCTGCAGCTTTGTCACATAAATTCTGACTGCTTTTTTTTTTTTTTGTTCAACCTCTGTTTGCTATGTTTTCTCCTTAATATACTTTTGTTTCCAGAGTTTCTCTTTTGGTTTATATTCCACTTTCCTCTCCCCTGCTACCTTCTCTCCCTCCCACATAAGAAAATTCCTATATGAAAAATTATGTTGTACTTGTAAGTTCCAGACGCTTTTGCAAGAGAAAAAAACTGAGAAAATTCTGAAATTTCTGTTTTGAAATAAAAAGAAAAAAGGAGGCACGCACATTTTCATCCATAGCTTTTACAGTGTCTGTTATATTAATGGGAAGCTTTATTTTCTTTCATCTATACCTGTTTCTCAGCTCACTGGTGGAAAAATAGTATAGTTGTATGTATTATCCCTGAAATCTGTTCTGTATGTTTCTTTCTGTACGTCTTTTGCTGCATTGAGGAAATCTAATATGTTGAATCATCATTCCTTGATACAAAGATACATGGTAGAGATTAATAAACCCATGAGCTTTTAGTTGCTTGAGAAATCACTGTCATTTTGTCAACTATAATTTGAGGTGGGGGTGGTGGGTGTAATTTTATAAAAAACGCCTTCCTGGTGTTTTAAGTGAACTTTTTTGCCTACATAGATGTCTGATGCTCCTCTGATTTTAGACAGATATTATCTATAAAACTTGCTTCATGTAGGAACAGAGCAATAAAGTATGAAACTTGACCAGAAAAGAATAGCAAAATTGTTCTTTTTCTATCATTTGGTAAAATTTTGCATCTGGTCACCTAGAAATTTACCAGTGATACTGTGCTCAGTGCTGTCACTGAGAAGTCAATATGTGGAAAACAGTTCCTGAAGATTTCAGTGTTGTTTTGATTTGAACATTCCTTAAAATGCCTGTGACCAGAATTCTTCACGAGCTTTGTGCTAGCAACTGACATAAAATGTGATAATGTAAGTCAATGTTTTGGAGTTTTTTATGAACAAGAACTTAAAAGAATTGCAGTTTACTATTTACAGCACAGTAAAACTTTTCTCCTCTGACCATTTCATTTCTTTTCTTCCCCAGAAAGCAACTCTGCAGCATGACATTTGAAGATTTTGAGAACTATTCTTATTTCTACGACCTGTCTGAGGAAGATGAGTCACCCCAGTCCTCCCTCAGCATTGCCCATATTATTTCCCTTTTCTTTTACAGTGTGGCATTTCTGCTGGGAGTGCCAGGTAATGCCATTGTCATCTGGTTTATGGGCTTTAAATGGGATAAATCTGTTTCTACCCTCTGGTTCCTCAATCTGGCCATTGCAGATTTCATTTTTGTTCTCTTCTTGCCCCTCTATATTACATATGTGGCAATGGGCTTCCACTGGCCTTTTGGGAAGTGGCTCTGCAAAATGAACTCATTCATTGCACTACTTAATATGTTTGCCAGTGTTTTCTTCCTGACGTTCATCAGCCTTGACCGCTACATCCGCCTTGTCCACCCAGTCTTTTCCTACAAATATCGGACTGTAAGGAACACCCTTGTTCTCAGTGGGGTCATTTGGATGTCAGCTGCAATTATTGGTGGCCCTGCCTTATACTTTAGAGACACAGCTACGGTTCTGAACAATGTCACCATTTGCTACAACAACTTCCATGTGCACGACAGAGAACTTATTTTGCTGACACATCACATTCTCATTTGGGTGAGGCTTGCGTTTGGTTACCTCTTCCCTTTAGTGACCATGGTCATTTGCTACTCATTGCTGATTGTTAAAGTGAAGAAAAGAACTGTATTGACTTCTAGCAGGCTTTTCTGGACCATCATTGCCGTAGTTGTAGCTTTTTTTGTTTGCTGGACACCATATCACATATTCAGCATTGTGGAGTTGTCTGCTCACCATGACGAAAACTTGCATGACTTACTACAGGATGGCATTCCGCTCTCCACTGGCCTTGGTTTCATCAACAGTTGCCTCAATCCAATCCTCTATGTTCTGATAAGCAAAAAGTTCCAGGCCCAGGTCAAGACAACAGTCTCTGAGGTGCTAAAACTGGCTCTGTGGGAAGTGAGCCGCTCGGGAACTGTCAGCGAGCAGCTGTGGAGCTCGGACAACAGCCATGCGCCTGTGCACTATTGTGAAACTGCCCAGTGACTGTTCTCGTCAACATCCCCCTCCAGAAGAGAGGGAGATTTGGAAGTGTTCTTGACTTCACATCTGACAGTCAGATATGCATCTTTGCATATACAGTTTTCTATAAACAGCTGGCTTAATTGCACTTGCTGCTTTAATTGAAAGGTTTTTAACGGACACATCGTTTGGGTGTGGTGTCCTTGCAAAGCACATACAGCCTGAGCTGAAAGTTGTCAGCATAAGTGGAATTACTCCAACTGGGTTTTTGATGAGGAATATTGTTTTAATCCCATTGTTTTGCTATGGTTCCATACCTCATTGATATCAAAAGAGTACATAATAAAAATATTCCTCCTTGCCATCACTGATACCTCTCTTGTTTGAGGCAGTCTCATTCAAGAGGTTGTAGCCATACATCAGTGGCCATGAGTCCCGATTGCCAAGCGCTGCCTGAAGTAGGAATCACCTAGCTACTTCCCAGCTAAGTGAAGTGGCTCCCCTCTGCAGCTGGAGAAGGATCCCAAGACAGAGAACCCTGAATTGCTGCCTTCTCTTGTCAAAAAAGAAAAATACGGAAATAAAATGTGTCTTCTCCCAATGCTCTTTATCTTATACTCAAAATTAAGACAGGAGACCCTATGTTTTCTGGTCACTTATTCTTGTGCTTTTAGCACTAGCTGGGTGCAAAATACTGAGCAGATGTTTCATACAGGTATTGGGTTCATTTGAAATGTGCAAAGAATTAGTGAGAATATTTCTTACAGAAGCTGAGATTAAAGGTCCTGTGCCATACTTCTTTTAAGTTTTTAGGCTTCAAGTGGTTTACAACTATTGGTTGCTTTTTATTGCTCTGTCAAGCAAAGATAAAGAAATAACATTTTGTTTGCCTTAATGTCAAGCTTCAAAAAATGGGTGTAGTGAATTCGACAATATTCTGTTACAAGTCTGTAGCCAAATTTCGACTTCATTGCCAAATGAGAGGCAAGACAGTTCATCCAGGAAATGGAGTCCACTCCCATAAGAAAGATGAAGTAGTCCCAGTTATGCTGTATTCTGTTCCAACTTGTTGCTTGCTGCAGAATCACACACACCAATGCAAGTATATATACAAACAGATATGCTATGTGGAGTGAATCAATTTCTGATGCAATACCACTTAATTAAAAAGTTGAATGTGGGACGAAACTCCACTAAAAGTAAAAGCACAGAGCTTTGGGTAAATTTGAACTGTTTTTAACTTGCTATTGGCTTAGGTATATAGAATAAAATTGCCTTTCAGATAATCTACCTAGTTTCTATGGCCTGCCAACACACATTAGTAGCATTTATACTGTAATTGAGGCCTTATATGTAAATAGATTTGCAGTTGTATAAAATATGTATATGTATGCATTACCACACCCAGTACTGGTAGCTGTACAAATAGAAACAGTCTGACTGGTCTTTAACTATTTCTTTGGGCTCTGGTTTCAGAGCCTGGGAGAGTCAGGCAGGGATCAGTGGAATTTCAGCGTATTTCACTTCAGGCTAGAAAGCTGGTAAACAGCACTCTTCCTTTGAGTCATTTGCTGCCTGGTACATAGTTACTCATCATAATATTTTGGCACTGTGCTGCTGAATATGCCTAAATGAAACATCTTGGAGTTTTTCTTCACATGTTCCCTGACATCTTTCTAGGAATGATGTACTTTCCTGACTGTAGTCCAAATGAAGTAATAAAATTTTGTTGTTTCCAAAGAGTGTGTTCATTTGCTTTTCTTAGCAGCAATATGCGGTAACTGTCCTTTCTTATAACAGCTCCTTCCCAAAGATTTTGGAAGATGAAAGCAAGCGCTGACTCTTTCTACTATGGGAATTAAGGTTTCTTGTTGCACATCAGCTATGTGCACACATATATTCCTATATTCCGTACAGAGGTTGATTTTCAAAAGGGAGAACATATATGCTGTCTTGCACAGATGATCAGAAAGCATGCCCTGAAGCAGACGAGAGAGAGAATAGAATTGAATAGGGCCAAAATCAGCCTTGATCTATGGAATTAAGTGGATTAACAATTTTGCAATGTAACTACTACCATTCACACCAAGATCAGTTGCAGAATTATCTCCAGATTACTTCTTCAAAAGTAATGGAAGATACCTAAACAAAACAGATAATGCTCCAAGTTTCTGTTTCCCAAGTGTCTGCAAGAAAAGACCAACAATTCTTTGCTGCTTGGACTGAAGGATGCTTGTTCAACCCACTAAAACAGAAAAGAAAAGCCAGAAAAGGGGATCTATCTGATCATGGTAAGAGATACTATGGAAAGAGCTATTGACATATTTTATAATAGATAGGTTCTGGTTAATTTTATCTCCTTCCTGGACAGTTTGTGGTTCTGAAGGTTTTTATGTGGGTTAGTTTTTGTTAAAACTCTTTTCCCAGTATTGCCATGTATCACACATTTAAAGTATAGAAATTTCTACTGATCTTTCTGTTATAGGGTGCCTTGTTTACTCTAAGATGCTGATTTTTCACAGGCACAATGCCACAGTAATACACCAGCACATACCCAAACACTATACAAAACCCCCTCATGTGGATTATATGGAATTCTCTTGTCCACATGCCAATCTATTTTCTCACTGGGGAGACTGTGCTCTCTGGGGTTTATTTTATTTTGTTCTTGTGCAGCAACTTCCCTTCTAACATCAGGGGAAAAAAATCAGCAAACAAAAGAAAAATCAAACACAAAAGAAATCCCAGCAACTGAAGAGTTTGCACCTGCATGCTTAGCAAAAATGTAGCACACACACAAATCCAGTCTAGCAGGTCACATGGATGGCTCATGGGGCTGTATTTTAGCAATGTTACTGTTTATAAATTAAACCATTATATCCAGGTAGAGCTTTAATTTCAAGGCCAAGGAAGGAGTTTAAAGGTAAGAAGCACATTGAAGGGGAAGTCAGAAGCAGTGATGGCCAAGGATAATAAAAATTATATTTTTGTAGCAGAATTTTTGTTTTTCTGATGAGGCATTTGCTAATTTCTTTATTTTAACAGCAGCCATGACAGAATTGCTACAACTAAGCTACCTAATTTAGCAGAAGCAACAGCTAGAGAATTGCCACAGAAGTGGTACTGTGCATTAGTTACACACAGGATGAAGTTAGCCTTTTAGTTGTTTATGGAAGGTGGCAAGTGAGCCTGTAATTATACTTATTTCAAATCTTTAACCATGCTTTAAACCTTTAGCAGGCAGATTTTTTTTTTCCTGAGACAAATTATAAACAAAGATCTTACATTATCTGAAGCTGGTAGACCTTTAGACAAGGAGAAACAGGACCTGCTGTGCCAGATAACCACACAAATGCTCTCTGAAGAAAAGAACAAAAGGAGTTATCTAAGCTGCTGCTGTCAGGCTTTGGCACTGAGCATCTTCATCTCAGAGACCAATGTAGCACAGAAAAGGCATCCATTTCATGGTCACAATAAATCCTGTCAGTCCAATGGAAGGCATAGAACAGTGAATTTGTCTAGAAGCTTCACAACTGCAACAGCTTTTACATTCATCATTCCTACAGAAATTTTTTGGAAAACAATTTATTTCTGATTCATTCTTCAATCATTAAAAAAGTTGGCATCAATCTAGAAACCAACCTAGACCCAAGTAAGCAGCTCAAACTGGAGTTAATTTTGCTACTTTATATATTTGCATTTTATTTCAACGAATTTGTTTTTTAATTGTTGTTTTTAGCCAGGAACACGCGTCAAGTTTCTTATATAAGCAGACATCTGCATTAGCTGCAACCCGCGGGCAGCGCTCCCGTTGATCCCTCCCAACGCTGCCCGGCTCGGACACCGCTGCCACCGAGCTCGCAGCGCCTCCCAGAGGCGCAGTTTATGATCAACATTAGTTGCTGTACCAAGAACCCCTGGGAAAGAAGCAAAACTTGACATTTCACTGCAAAGGTTTCCAACCCTCAGAGGAACAAGTCACACAACACATGAGAAAGTAGCAGGGTAATCCCAAGTCCCACTGAGACTACAGTTGATTCAGTTACCTTCATCTCACTCTCACCAAAGCACTGGTTTAGCCTTCAACAAAAGCCATGGTATGTTTGGTTATTCACCACCCTTATTAAACAAAAGGAACTTATACTACTTATCCACTAAAAAAGTTATTTGCACTTTGACTGAGCCCTATTCTTTTCCCTTAAAGTCATCCCTCCTTCCAGAGGAATCACAAACATTTCCAAAGATGCAATTTCCTCTGCAAGTGGAGCAAAGAACACTTGAGCATTTTAAAGCCATGATAATGTTAACTCCAATTTGATGGTAAATGTAAATTTTCTATTTTCTCTGCTCATGCTCTTGGATACTACAGTGGGGTGTCAGAGCAACCTTGAAATTCAGTTTCAGCTTCTACTTTACCCATTAACAAAATCTTACATTTGTGAGTTGGATTACTCTGTAATTTTGAATTAAGCACAGGCACAGCACATTTTTTGCAACAACATTTATTCTAGATATATCAAGACTTAAATCTTATTGAAAGCAGCTACATCCATTGATTGTACATAATCTTCAAAAGCTGTTATTCTCTCTTCCAGCATATCTGTTCCAACTTTATCATCTTCAACAACACACTGGATCTGAAGCTTTTTGATACCATAGCCAACAGGTACTAGCTTGGCTGTAAAATAAAACAAGGTATTTAGTATTCCTCAATTGGTGGAATCTCTTAAAAACACCGATCTAAGATTGAACTGACCAAAGGAGTTTGCAGGAAAACATAAAAACATCATTTGCTCCACATTATGGACTATCTAATTAACAACAGAGGATTCACTACAAGTAATTGAAAAGGAACCTCCACCTCCTCTCCAAACCAGTGATGTGGCTGTATGGGTGTTTGTCTGCTGCATCAGGAATTGTACAGGGAGATGCAGGATAACAGCATCTTAGGTTTATAGTTTTTAAAATCTGTATTTGATTCTTAACTGGGCTGCTGCACTAATCACCTTTTCTGACTATGTCAAGATACTGAAATACAGTGGTATTGCAGTTCCCACCCTGTTTTAGCTACATTTTCAGAGATCAGCAGTGACCACAAATCTAATTATTCATACAATGTATCCTAAGGTACTACACTCTCTCCCTGCTCCAGAATTTTCTCATACTTACAAGATCCCCAAACCAGGCCATCTGCTTGAATGCTTCGAACACACTCCTCTAGTTTGGCCATGTCTGTCTCATCATCCCAAGGTTTCACATCAAGCAAGATTGATGATTTGGCAATAACAGCTGGTTCTGGGGGAAGAAAATTGCCTTTAAAAGCTACGAAGTTTTCAAACACTCATGAATATACTTGCAAACCAGTTTTATTATGTGAGCAACTTTTCCAATTCCATGAACAAGAACCTCCTCACACTGCTGTGCCAGGCCTCTGGTACCAATGTACACTTCTGAAGTGCTGTGGCTACGTACATCCCAGCATTCGGTGTGTAAATCCACTGTGTTCTTAAAAAACAAGTCTCAGAACACAGATTAAGCAGCTGACAATGTTTGTTACATAGGAAGTCCTTTTCAAAGGATCTGAAAAGGAGCTTAATGCTGTGTAACAGTTTATTTTCCACAGAGGGAATACTGCAACTGCTACAGTTCTGAACAGTTCCAGACCAGTAGCTGTGGAGGGACTTGTATACTGTGGCCTTTTCTCTGAACTCTGAAAGATAATCCTTGAGTTACATCTGTTTGTATAGAAAGCTCTTGGAAAAACAAGCAGGAGTGTATTAAGCAGGACAAAAAGTATGTTAAGGTTCCCATTTACTATGGGAGGACTGAGCATACAGGCAATTCAAGTGAAGCCAATCACTCCCGTCTCATTTCAATCAAGCTGATCTATTATTACAGTTAATTAGTGTTTCCAGCCACCCTGTTCAAATGCATGAAAATTAACCCAAGCACAAAAAATTAAGAAGTTCTTGGCACACATACTTTTGGACTTCTTTGACTCATACTGTGCCAGGCGTTCTTCCCTCAGTTTCTTTGCTTCTTCACTTTCCTGAAAGAGAAATCTACAGTTACAGAAAAGCACCAAAACCTCATATCCCCAGAGCATTATCAAACTGACTGGCATCTACTCAGACAAAAACAAAACATCACAACTGTCAGCCGAAAGATGGTGATTTTTTGTTTTATTCATCATGTAACCAGTCAAAGTTGACCCCAAAACAACACAGTATTTTCTAACTCAAGTGTTTACCCTCCAAGCTTTCCTGTTCTTCAAAGATAGCTGAATTTGAGAATTTCAAGCAGGATCTCTTATCAAGGTTACAAACTTAAGTAACTTAAACTAGCTAAGGCAAAAATCTGCATAGCTGGGTTAATTTCAAAAAAACCCAAACATAATACTGAAAGGTCACAAGTACCTCCTCATCATCAGATCCAAAAAGGTCAATGTCATCATCATCTTTGCTATCTGTGGCTGCACCTGTTGTGTCCTCAACATCAGCAGGACCGTATTTCCCCAAAGCCTTCTTTACTCCTGGCAAGCTGAAAGAAAAATGCAGCTATAAGGAAACCTACTAAAATGTAGATACAAATACCACCAGTTTGTCAATGCACCTACAAGTGCATTTGTAATGAAAACACTGGGCTAAAAAAAAATAAAAATCGAATCCTGCTACTTGAAATCAGAACCTCCTCCTAAGACCCAAAGACAGCCCCCAATGCTTGTGACATGCTTGCAGAAT